AACTGGATTTTGCGATAAAAAATTCAATTTTCGCAAATTTGCAAATTTTTTTGCAGATTCTAAAAGTAGAGCACAAGAGCTTTCTAATGATGTATCATTTGTCATATTTGGACATAAAACATGGGATTTAGAGGGGGGGGTCAAATTGACCCCCCCCCAGCGTATCCTGGTTTTCAAGTACCCCAGCGGGGATAGGGTTAATTTCCGAGTGTTATTGTTTTCATAAATGCTGTTTTATTACATGCAGCAACGAAATAAAAATGAAATATCATGGAAAATTTTGTTTGAATCGAAATGAGTTGAAATAAAGTCCTAAACTGGAAATACGGAGCTAGGACTTGAACCTGATAAAATATGTATTCAGTGGCATGATCTGAATACATTATAAACCTACATTTGTACAAACCTTTATTCAATTCTATACAGGGATTAAGCATAAATATTAAAACCTAAGTTTAAATCAATGTCAAACTCTCAATTGAGAACATGCTGAACAGTTGGGCATTCAGAGTAAAATGTGTTTAAACAAGATTAAACTTAAATTCCATTTCTTGCCACACGAAATATTGAAAAAATTTGACGGAATAAATCATTTAAACAGACTTAATTAATTAGTCAGGTGTCCATTTGAACGACTATTTTAAAAACACAGGAACGCACTCAAAAACGAAAAGATATTATTACTATAGTATTAGAAGGGAATGAATGTTTAAAAAATTTTAGAATGGGATCTCTTTAATCTGGAGATTATTAACAAGGGGAGAACAAGCATTATTTAATCTCGAGATTAAGAAAAAGAGCGGATCAAGCATTAATCCCGAAATCCACCATTCAAAAGTTCCCAGCTCAGCTCCTTGATCCTACCCGACCCTGCTTCACTCTTCTTGAGCAAAAAACGGCCGAAATTTACAATTTCAGAGAGGAATAAAATGATTCACACAAAATATTTGTATGATTGTGTAAATGCAAAGTTTAAAGAAGTTGTTCAAGAATATCTAAGGTCTGCAAGATAAGACGGTGATAGATTTTCTTATCAATATACAGTACATATATATGATATATATTAAATACAAATATTATACAGAACTAGCTAAAATGTTGTATTTATTCAAGAATACCTTTTTAAATTTCAATTTTATGTATTGTGAGAATGGTTTCCATACATTTACTGCATCAAACTACTTTAAAAATTTTACTTTTGTTGTTAGATTAAACAAAAAGTGGAAAATTGGTGCGGATTCTTTTGATTATTAAAAACATTACCCTTGAAATCTTGTCATCACCATCCAGATCGTACATCCTGAAGGCGAAGTGCAACTTCTCCATCCTGGTGTTTAACTTGTTCTTCTCCATGTTCTTCTTGATTGGTCGGAAATGCGCTAAAACTCTGACGAAATCCTAAAATAGTTTTTTTTGATAAATCCGCCGAGAAAAAGTTTCAATTTGTTATTTTGTGTTAAACTCTAAACTGTCATTGTGGGATGACTTTTAAATACGAAACTGAGAGAGCTTTCTTCTTCTTGTTTATTTCGGCAAAATCATGTTGTCATTAGCGCTACAATCTTTCTTATGCTTAAAGATAAAAAATATTTATTGGAAAAAAACGATCAAAATAGAAATAATAAACATCTATAATTAAGTAGAAGATTAAAAATAATAATCTATTCCATTAATCATTAAAATAAATTAGCCTATGAGACATGCAATTCTTTGCTGTATCATACAGTCTTAATCAAAGTAAAGCCGAATAAGTGTTGTCTTCTTTGGTTGATTTCTTCTTTTTAAAAACAAGTTTTGAACTAGAAAATCCTCAGCGAAAGGAATTGAATCTTTGCCACAAACTCCGATTTTATAATCCCTTTATTTTTTCAACCTAATGTCGTAGACCTTAAATATTTCAAAGTATCATTTCTGTTGGCTCAAATAATCTAAATTTGAAATATCTAAGGTTCAACCCATCAGGTTGCAAAGATATAGGGATTAGAACATTTTAGTTTGTGGCAAAAACTCAATTCCTTTCCAAAGAACAACGAACACGCAAGTTAAACCACTTAAATGGGGTTGTGTCTTTTACTAATTACTAATGGTTAACTGTCTATTTAACCATTTATCTGACCATCTATCTATCTACCTATCTATATATCTATCTATCTATCTATCTATCTATCTATCTATCTATCTATCTATCTATCTATCTATATATCTATCTATATCTATCTATCTATCTATCTATCTATCTATCTATCTATCTATCTATCTATCTATCTATCTATCTATCTATCTATCTATCTATCTATCTACCTATCTTTCAATTTACCTTAAAATCAACCCTATCCTCGTCCCCGTTCTTGCTTTCGTAGAAGAATGCATGAACGATCCTGTCTCCGAGAGGGTTAATAGCTAGCTCCGGGATTCGAAGGAAGTCCTCTCTGGTCAAATGACCCTTGTCAGATTTATCCAAACTTGTGAATCTGAAATATTACCTTAATAAAAACAAACAAAAAATAATATAATCAATTTTTAGTATTGTGCACTATGTAAGTGTATAGAGTGTACGTACAATATGAATACTATATGTACGTACAATATTTACACTATGTACACTATATTTAAGTAAATTATGTGCACTATATGCACATAAGTACGTAAACTATTTACACTTTTTACGAACACTATTTACACTTTTTACGTATACTATCTACACTATTTGTACCTGCTGTACAGTCTCTCTATCTGATGTGGTGTAAACCCGGTTTCGTTCTGTACTGCAATCAGGTCTTCCGCCTGTAACTGTAACCCAGATCTAGAATTACCCATTTTTATTTTATAAAAATCTGAAATTAGAACAAAAATATAGTTTACTTCAAGAATAAAAAATTTAATCTGAAACAAGTTAGAGATAAGAAACTTATCTTTTTTTCTGAAAGCGAGGTGACACAAAATTTTAAAGGGTAAAAGTACAAAAAGTTGATTACTCCCTTTTACAACAAACGGGGGAGCAATATAGCATCATGATTTAAGGGACTGTGCGCGTAATTACAAGATGACAATGGCCGACTCACAAAGATTTGTTTAAAAGCTTCGGCTGGTTAAGTATGAAATAGCTATCAATTATTATAATTTATAAAACTGTTTATTTTTAATCATGGTTTCCCTACTTCTACTGCAGGAAAATATATAGAATTTATCATAACTTACACTTTTAAACCTAGAAAAACGTTAACATCTTACACATTTTTATTAAATAAATGGTTCAAGGCTACCGTTGTAAATCGGGCATTGCCACCATCGTATGGAGGGTCACTTGTAATAACTCTTACGGTGTCTTCAACAAACAAAAAAGATTTAAAGAATATTCACATAGCTCTTTAATTGACAAACTTTAATTGTTGTTAAATAGAATCAAAATATCAACCATTTTATGTTTTTTTTGGCTCCCCGCCTTTACTTTGGTATTCTTTTGTTAATCATAATATGAGCACGGTTGAGTAGGTTTGTATCAGCTGATTTTCTTATTCTTGTTTTAAACTCGTTGGACCGTGCAATCTTAATCAAATCTTTAGTTCGGATTCATTTCACGGTCCAACCAATAGTCTTGGAGACATGAAGAAACAGATAATAGGTTTTTATATATTCATGTTCACCCGCGGAAAGATTTACCTTGAGAAAAAAAAACATGAGACTAGCATTTCTTCCGCAAAATATATAGAGGGCGTTTAAATTTTTTTTATCGAGATCGTATTTTTTTTATCGAGATCGTATTTTTTTTATCGAGATCGTATATTTTTTTTATCGAGACCGTATATTTTTTTTATCGAAATCGTATATTTTTTTATCGAGATTGTACATTTTTTCTATCGAGATCGTATATTTTTTATCGAGATTGTATTTTTTTTATCGATATCGTATATTTTTTATCTAGATCGTATATTTTTTGATCGAGATCGTATATTTTTTTATCGAGATCGTATATTTTTTTTATCGAAATCGTATTTATCGAGATCGTATATTTTTTTATCGAGATCGTATATTTTTTATCGAGATCGTATATTTTTTTATCGAAATCGCATATTTTTTATCAAGATCGTACATTTTTTATCGAGATCGTATATTTTTTTATCGAGATCGTATATTTTTTTTATCGAAATCGTATATTTTTTATCAAGATCGTACATTTTTTATCAAGATCGTACATTTTTTATCGAAATCGTATATTTTTTTCTTCATTTATATTGAAAGTGAAAAATTGACGGTAAGCGTAAATTCAAGTGACCCTTTATTTAAAGATGACAATGTCCGATTCACAACGGTACCCTTAAAAGCTTTGTCTGATTAAGTTTAATAGTTTTCAATTGTTTGTTCTTAACTCAACGCATTTCTCCTGAAGGAAAACATAAAGAAATTATCAAAAATGTAAAGAAACACTAATATCAAAACACATAATCGATAAAATAAAGGTTTCAAGGGTACCGTTGTGAAACGTTCATTCCCATCTTTGCATGAAGGGTCACTCGGAATTACGATTACAATCCCTTTAAGCACGATTAGAATTTAGAAATGTGTGTGCAATGTGCACAGCTTTGAAAAAGAAGTAAATATATATCTAGGGTAACTTTGCCTGTTTATCTGTACTTAAGCTTTACATGGAAGGTTTTATGTCTCCGCATAAAGTTTATTCTCCAGAGATTCAACAGATCTGTCTTGATAAACCCATCTATATATAAATTTACCTAGTCTGGCTGTCTGTTTGTATGTATGTATCCAATAAACGTCAAAACGGCTGAACCGATTGGGGCCCAAATTTTATTTTTGTAAAATTTTGAAAATGCACTAAAAAATATTTTGAAATCTGCAAACTTTTTTTGTTTTTGTTTTATACTTTACAAAGAGTAGATGCTCAGAGATGAAGCCACAATTAAAAGTTGAAATAGAAGATGGACGCGTAGCGCCCTAAAAGTCTATTACAGAATAAATTGGAATAAGCGTAAACATGCAACGAATTATTTATATCCTGCCTTTTCGGAATATTTGCAGTCATATTTTAATAGCGTAAAAGACCTGATATACTTTCAAATTTTAAATACATCGAAATATAGTTTACTGAGTCTGAGCTAGAAGTATACTTTGAGGATTGGAAAATGTAAAAATCAAAATTGAATGTTAAAAGATTTAAACGATTGAAATTACAAAAATCTTTTTAAGCCTAGAACAAAAAACTCGTTTTGATATGTAATATTTACCTTTGTTTGCTACAGGATATATCAAAGTTATCGCAAGAAGTATGAGGTGAATGTGTTTGAAATTAATAGAGTCGAATACGTATCTGGGATGTATTATAAATTCAGAGATATAAACTAGAGTGGACAGTTCCGTCCCATGGTGTGACTACTACTGGAGATATCCGTGCTTACTGATACTACTAGAGCTGTTTCTGACGGAACCGGTCCGACAACAAAACCAAAATATACAACCGGAGAAAACCAAATAACAAAAAAGATAAAGAACAAAAAGGACAAAATTTGAAATTTTTTCTTTGTAAGTTTTAATGAATGAAGTTTGTAAAAGTTTGATATTTAGTAATTATTAATAATTTGTAAATCTTTTAATCCTCTACGTACTTTTGTTCTACTCGTTTATCCTCTTAACCCTGTATAAACAGGGTGTCGCAAAAATAAAATCATTATAAGTTTCCCCTCTTGACGGAAAGTTTAAGAAAGAATTGTGAGATTTTAAAAATTCTTCTTTGTTTTAAGCCAGTCTACCGATTCCACTGGCCTTTACATATATTTACCACATCATAAACTTCACCTATATTTACCACATCATAAACTTTACCTATATTTACCACATCATAAACTTTACCTATATTTACTACATCATAAACTTTTTGAAAAGAGCAATATCTTATATTCCTTTCTCCGGGCTTTCTGAAGTGTGGGCTTTTGATATTGTTTTAAAAAAGGGTAACCAAAAAAGATGAGTTTTAATAAGCTTTTCTTAAGAATATAGTTCCCTGCAGTTTTGTAAATGTGTCTTTTTTGCCAAACATTTTTAAGTATACCGTTAAATGAGCATATCAAGTACTGCTGACCAAATTAAGCCACGAACAAAGTCATATTTAACGAGTTTTTGGTCGTTATTAAAGTCTCTTTCTTTGTGGGTAGCACTGTAAATAAAACTAAATCATCTATGACTTCGTGTTACAGCTAAACAAAACTAGACTAAGAAACTGAAAATACATAATTTTTTCTCAAAATAAATCCAAAGGGAAACTTTTTCATTAGTTTTCCTTGACACCCAGTAGAAGATAAGATACGAGTGCAAGAAATCATTAGGTGTCCATTATTCTAATCGATTAAACCAAACCTGAATTCAAAACCAGACCAGGAGTGACGCTGATACGGAAAAATAATTATTTACAAAACTTATAATATGAAAACAACTCTCTCTTACTTTTTTTCTTTTCAACTAATCCTAGACTTTAAATCTAAAACCTTTATTATAGCTTTAGTTAGATTTAGCTGGTAACTTTTGAAGAAGTAGAAATTAACCCTTAAATTCAAAAGTTCCGGCTCATAAAGTCAACCTTGAAAAGAAAAACACCTCAGTTATAAAACAGTCCCTTGATTTATGAAAAATAAATTAAATTATTTTGAGCCCAATTCACCGTGTTTCCGATAATAACTATTTCAATTGTTAATTTTAGTTCATGCGTTGTTGACATTTAGCGGAGAGGCGAGGTAGTGAATATATAACGTAATAATCTGTACACTAGACCAGTTCTTATATAATGCAGCTACACAGTTCTTAATCTACTTTACAGACTATAGATTATATTTCATCAATACCCAAATGGCGAAATACCTTTTTACCTGAATACCTAATCCCCCTATTCATCTACTCCTTGATCTCCATACACTCCCTAGCCTCCATCTACTCCGTGCACTCCATCTACTACCCATATCCTTCAACCCCTTGATCTCAATCAACTCCCTGATCTCGATCTACTCCCCGCTCTCCATCTACTTCCTACTCTTCATCTACTCCACCCTCTCTATCTACTCCATCTCTCCATCTACTCCACTTTCTCCATCTCCTCCCCCTATTCATCTACTCCCTAATCTCCATCTATACTTCATCTCTCCATCTTCTCCCCCTTATCCACCTACTCCCCCTATCTATCAACTCCCTGATCTCAAACTACACACTCCTCTCCATTTACTCCCCCTCACAATCTTTCCCTCCTCTACATGCAACCACTCCCTGCTCTCTATCTACTCCCTCCTCTACATGCAACCACTCCCTGTTCTCTATCTACTCCATCCTCTACATGCAACACTCTCTGTCTCTCTAGTCTTAAATATAACACTTTTAAAACTATAGAGAATAAGCTCCCCCTAAGGCAAGTGATTGAAGGTTAAAGATTAAGTCTCTTATATATTAGTAAACCACCCAATATGTTGATTTGTTGTGTTGATAATTCGATATGATGATATGCTGATTTGTCATTTATATTAATATATATATATATTATTCTCATTTATTATATTTATATATATATATGTATTTATCCAAAAGCCTATTTTCTTTATAACTCGCTACTTTCTATTCTTTAAGTTCTACCTGTCATCTTCTTATCTCCGTTCTTCCTTATCTAGTATCCGCAAAATCCACTTTATCTTATTTAAATATCTTTTTATCTTATCTAGATATCTTTTTATCTTATCTAGATATATTTTTATCTTAGTTAGAAATCTTTTATTTAGTTTGGATATTCAGTTTGGGTTGGAGATATTTTGTTTGCATATTCAGCTTGAATATTTAGTTTGGATATT